TGAATCTTTCTATTAGTTCCAGTAGTTTTCTGGTGGAGTCTTTAGAGTTTTCTATGTATACTATCATATCATCCACAAACAAGGACAGTTTAACTTCTTCATTACCAATTTGGATGTCCTTTATTTCTTTTTCTTGCCTTATTGCTGTAGCTAGGACTTCCAGCACAATGTTAAATAAGAGTCATGATAAAGGGTGTCCTTGTCTTGTTCCTGTTCTCAAGAGGAATGTTTTCAGCCTCTCTCCATTAAGAATTATGTTGGCTGTTGATTTTGCATTGATGCCCTTTACTATGTTGATAAATTTCCCTTCTGTACCTATTTTATTGAGAGTTTTTATCAGGAATGGGTGTTGGGCTTTGTCGAGTGCCTTTTCTGTGTAAATTGAGATGATCATGTGATTCCTTTCTTTCCTTTTATTTATGTGATGGATTACATTGATTGATTTTCTAATGTTGAACCTTCCTTCCATACATAGTATGAATCGCATTTGGTTGTGGTGTATTATTTTTTTGATATGATGCTGAATTCTATTGGCTAGAATGTTGCTGAGAATTTTTGCACCTATAATCATGAGAGATATTAGTCTATAATTTTCTTTTTCTGTGGTGTCTTTGCCTGGTTTTGGTATCAGGGTTATGCTGGCTTCATAGAATGAATTCGGAAGTGTCACTGAAATAGTTTGAGTATTACTAGTATAAGCTCTTCTCTGAATGTTTGGTAGAATTCTCCAGTGAAGCCATCTGGGCCAGGGGTTTTTTTTGTTGGGAGTTTTTATCATTATTGTTATTATTACCATTTCAATCTCTTCTCTTATTATGGGTCTGTTTAGATTTTCAACATCATTTTGTGTTAGTTTGGGTAGGTAGTGTGTTTCTAGAAATTTATCCATTTCCTCTAGGTTTTCAAATTTGCACAACCATGTCTCTTTTAATTTACTTCTTTTCCTTTTCTTTCTGTAGGCTGCGCTGCTGTTGCCAGTTCTAGGGTGGCTTTTTGTCCCCATATACATCAAGGCTGAGGTGAGTATCTTCAGTTGGGTGTTCTGTGCCCATCTTTTCAATGTACTTCATGCATTCATTTATCCACTCATTCATTCTACTCAATCATGATGTCTAGATACCTGGCAGTCCACTGGCCTGTTTCTAGAAATATACAGGTAACAAGACTGGGTTTCTTCCCTAGAGAGACTCCTAGTGTATACTGTGGCTGCATCAAGGAGACAAATCACAGTGATGGCCCTGAACAATGAGTATTGTGATAGATGTCAGCCAAGCCTGGTGCAGGAATACTAAAGCTGGGCCACACACTAGCTTCAAAACATGATTCTTAGAGATTACCTGAGTCCAGTCTTGAGGAATAAGTTATACTTCTGTAGGTAGAAAAGTGGAATCATGGAGGATTGGAGGAAACAAAGAGACTAAAAATCATGAAAAGACTTGGAGTTTTGGGTGTCGAGGGAAATTATGGTTAAATATGTGGAAGGAACAATGGATTGGAGGGGGTCTGCATGTGTAGGTAGGTTTGATAGTGGAAAGCCTTGTGTGTTTCTGAGATTGAAAGGTGTGCCCTTTATTCTTCTAGAAACAGGCAGTCAATGTGGGCTTTCAGGCAGTCAAGGGCCATGATCAGATTCCTGTTTTAGGAAGTTCCACTCAGACAGTGAGTGGACAATGGACTTGAGGGGAGACCTGCTGAAGATAAGATAATGAGGAAGTTTGTATTATGCCTTGAGATGCCCTAGGCAAAGAAACAGAGAGGAAGGGGAGAAGTTTCTGGGGGTAGAGATGACAGATTAGGGGAACACAGTAGAGAGAGAAGCATCCAGAGCAATCCTAAGATTTAAGCTCAGGGACCTGGTGCATAAGGTCACTGTTAATAGAGGGATGGAATCCCAGAGGAGACCATATGATACACAACAGGGAGAATAGAACTGAGTGAGGTCTTGGTTCCTTTCAGACACTAGCATGAACACAGCCATCAGGCAAATGAGCAGGTCGGTCAGGAGCAGGATCTTGGCTGGAGTTATCCATATGAGAGTCTTTCTCTTCAGAAATGTTGTTTGAGCTCCCACTATGTGCCTCAGGGATGTGTCTGAGAACAAGAAGCCACATCTCCCAACCAGGAAAGAGGGACAAATAAATTGGACGTCACATGTAGGAAAGCTGTGCTGGAAGACTCTTGGGAGCTATGGAAAGATTCCTAATGCAAGCTGGGCATTGAGGGAAGCTTCCCTGAGGAAGGGCCATCTTAGTGGAGGCTTGAGGAATGGTTCAACCAGTCAAAGATGGGTGAAAGCAGTTGCTCACGCAGGGGAATATTGCCTGCAATGGCCCAGAATGAGCGAGTGTGCAGCACATATGGGGACCTGGAAATTGTTCCATGTGGCTGAAACACAGGGACCAAGGCCAGGATGTGGATGTTGGCAATGGAGACTGGGTGGAGCAATGGGCAGGAGCCTGATAAAGCAGTAAATGTCAGAGCTGAGAATAGATCCCAGGATTCTTTGACTCTACTCCTGTGCCTTGCTGCTCTCCCAGGGGATCATTCCTTTCTCACCTCTGTATTCCCAAGGTGCCATGCACAGTGCTTAACAACCTGCAGGTGCTTAGTAAATGATGAATGATCCAAATGTGCTGGGCTCTGTGGTGAATCCCTGTTGGCATCTGTCTCTGTAGGTGATGACCATGCCAGAATATCTGAAGAAGCACTTTGGTGGGAATCAACTTCAGGTCTACCTCTCCATCCTGTCCATCTTCATCTGTGTGGTTTTGAGAATCTCAGTGAGTTCAGAGCTTCCTGGCTGTTTGTTTTTGAGTGGTTGCCTTGATGGGGTAGAGAACTAAGATCAGAGAACTAGAAGAGTGGACTACTGACAGCTTTACAGCTGGAGCCATGTGTGTGTGTTAACAAGCTGGGTCTCTCTACCAAGTCTTTGTGGGAAAACAAGAGGTTCAGAGACCCTGTGTTCATAGAGCAATAAACTTCCAAGTTGTGAGAAGCTTCAGATTGTAAGTCCACCTTCTCATTAAGGATATGAAAAAAATGGATGTACGGAAAGAACAAAATGTCTCATTCAAGTAACATAGTTATTAGTAGTGGAAAAGAGAAGGACTTCTCTGGTCTCCTGCCTTTCCATCACACAGTATACTTTTCATTCTCTTTGGCAGAATCATTCTGGGTTTATATTTTTTTTCGGCTGAATTATCTGACACATGAACCCAAAGAAAAGTGTTTTGTGTTGTTCTACACTGAATTTTCTTAAACTTATTCTATTTTATCTAAGATTGCTACTATAAATTACCATGTTAAAATAATTTTTAAAATTTTCAAAGTTTATGTTCCTTGGAGATAATCATTGAGTAAAGAGAAAAAAAAAATGAAGATTCAGCAGCACGTGTAGAAAACAAAGAAAGAGTAAATTCATTTACTTCTCATCTATCAGTAACTAACAAAATAATCTGAAAGTTTACAGTCCAGGCAGTTGTCTCAATGTTCATGAGAGAAGAAGCTGATCCTCACTATTGCTCTTCTGTTGAGCTGATTCACTGTTGGAAAAAAACCAACCGTTCAGATTAGATGGCATGAAACTTCCTAATGCAGCGTAAGCATTTTTTTCAGCCCTTACTGTTTGCTAGTGAGTTCTGTGTTAGGGGTAACAAAGATTCCTGTGTTCTGGGAGCTCACCAGAATCTTACACATGAAATAATTAGCACTTTATGACAATATATGTGAAGATACTAAAATGTGAACTGAAATAGAGTTGTGTGGACAAGTACAGACATGTGCTATGGACACTCAGGAAAGAGCGTGGTTCTTGATGGGTGGAATATGGAGGTCATCTTCATGGAGGAGGCTTTAGACAAGTCCACAGGATGTGAAAGGTTAGGAGATGCAGAAGGAAGCAGAGGCACCCAAGTGTGTTGGGCCCTTGGGCTCCCATGTTCCACAGTGTGTTGGACTCGCTAATCTCCCAGTTCTCCTCTGGCTCTCATATCTACAGTTTTATGGTTCTAAAGGGCATGAACAAGGTGCTAGGGCAGAAGGACAGTGACCAAAAGGGTCCCAAGGGATGCAGCCTCCTGGAGTGGTGGGTTCCTGGTGGTGGGGTGGGGTTAGGGAAGGGCTGGAATGTTGTGGAATTGGGGGAAAAGCATGTGACTGTAGGTCTTTAGTTGGTTGGAATGATACAGTGGTAGCAGTCCATTATGGCCTCCAAGGATGTTTCAAGTGATAGTAGCAGCAATTAATCATTGACATGACCTTTTGTGTACTTATAAACCCTGATAACAGATTCTACCCTGGTTACTCATTAAACAACTAATTATAAGGAATTAGGACTGTATTCATAATCCTCCCCTGCCCCAGCCTTAGAAAAGATCATCTTGTTCACTGGTTGTCAATCTCCAATAATATACATACTGAGAATTAATGTGTGTATATATATATATATATATATATATAAATCGAAACAATAAGCTGCCCCTTTAGCCGTAAGTATTTCAGTTTTTATTTCCTAAAAGTGTTGACTTTTTTTTAGAAAACCACATTATAAATTTTAAAATCAGGAAATAAATTTTAATACAAGCTATTATCTGATCTACAGATTTAATTCAAATATTGCAATTGTTCCAATAATGTCCTTAACAGCAAAAGAAAATCCTGGCTAATGCATGCAATGAATCTTTTTTATGAGCAATACCTTATAATGCCTCCTTAACTATCTTGAAATAAAAATCATTGATAATATAAGCTATTTACATATAATTTCAAAACTATCAATTTAATGTCTTAATCGCACTATATAAGAGAAACAAAAGTCAAGGAATCCGTAATAAAATAATGTGTGTCTTAACATGTATATGATTGGGCATGACTACACCAGATATCCACATCTCTCAGTTTGTTGTACTGTGGTGGCTTGAGTGTGCTGTGATACTGGAAGCTTTGCTACTGGTATTTCAAATACCAGCAGGGTCATCCTTGGTGAACAGGCTTCAGAGGAGATTCTAGACTAAGACAAACTAGGAAGAAGAACCTGGCAGTCTACTTCTGAAAAAATTGGCCAGTGAAAACCTTATGAATAGCAGAGGAACATTGTCTGATATAGTGCTAAACGTTGAACCCCTCAGATTGGAAGACATTCAAAATACCACTGGGGAAGAGATGCCTCCTCAAAGTAGAGTCTACCTTAATGATGTGGATGGAGTCAAGCTTTCCGGACCTTTGGTTGCTGATGTGGCACCACTTAAAATGAGAAGAAACAGCTGCAAACGTCCATTAATAATCAGTACATGGAATTATAAAGTATGAATCTAGGAAAATTGGAAGTTGTCAAAAAGGAAACGGACTGCATAAAAATCAATATCTTAGGCATTAGTGAGCTGAAATTCACTGGTATTGACCATTTTGAATCAGGCAATCATATAGCCTACTATGCAAGGAATGACAAATTGAAGAGCAATAGTGTTATGTTCATCATCAAAAAGAACATTTCAAGATCTATCCTGAAGTACAACACTGTCAGTGACAGGATAATATCCATACGCCTACACAGAAGACCAATTAATTTTTCAAATTTACACACCAACCACTAACCCCAAAGATGAAGAAACTGAAGATTTTTACCAACTTCTGCAGTCTGAAATTGATCACACATGCAATCACATATGATAATTTCTGGTGATTGGAATGCAAAAATTGGAAATAAAGAAGAAGAATTAGTATTGGAAAATAAAGCTTTGGTGATAGAAATGACGCTGAAGAGTACATGATAGAATTTTGCAAGACCAATGACTTCTTCAATGCAAATACCTTTTTTTTCAACAACATAAATGGCGACTATACATGTGGACCTCACCAGATGGAATACACAGGGATCAAATACACTACATCTGTGGAAAGAGACGATGGAAAAGCTCAATACCAGTCAGAACATGGCCAGGGGCTGACTGCGGAACAGACCATCAATTGTTCATATGCAAGTTGAAGTTGAAGAAAATCAGAAATCCAAGAGAACCAAAGTACAACCTTGAGTATATCCCACCTAAATTTAGAGACCATCTTAAGAATAGATTTAATACTTTGAACACTAATGACTGAAGACCAGATGAGCTGCAGAATGACATCAAGGACATCGTACACGAAGAAAGCAAAAGGTCATTGAAAAGACAGGAAAGAAAGAAAAAACCAAAATGGATGTCAGACGAGACTCTGAATGTTGCTCTTGAACGTCAAGTAGCTAAAGCAAAAGGAAGAAATGATGAAGTAAAAGAGCTGAAATGAAGGTTTCAAAGGGTGGCTCCAGAAGCCAAAGTAAAGTATTATAATGAAATGTGCAAAGACCTGGAGATAGAAAACCAAAAGGGAAGAACACACTCAGCATTTCTCAAGCTGAAAGAACTGAAGAATAAATTCAAGCTTCGAGTTGCAATATTGAAAGACTCTACAGGGAAAATATTAAATGATGCAGGAAGC